AGGTATTGACCTGGTCAACGAACCGTGGCGGATAAGAGCCAATGCAGGTAAATGAATAATATTGCTGTCAAACCCCACTAATGTGCTGTAAGAGGGATATGAGGACGGCTGGGGCGCGAACTTCATCACCCGGTGGTGGGTTTGGCTCTCTGAACAGCCCATGGGTAGGACGTCAGCAAAGAACAAAGAGGTATGGGTGGTGACCATGATGGTGGTGGTGTGTCTTCCCGTGTTGGGGGAAGTATCCGTGTCGTTGGGTTCAGCCGACCAATAAAGCGACCTCCTGTGGCCTGTATGCAGGCTCCCTCGACCAGCCGGATCAAGCCCCTACCAGAATGTATGCGTTGTGTGCCAATGAAATAGATGAGGCGAATCACATACCTTGCAAATCATCTGCAATATGAGCACATGACTAGGCATGGCAACTTGGATTCTGCGCCTTGGCAAGCTGGCTATGACATCGTGGCAGCTGTGATACATATATGATCAAGTCTGGTAGCTGAGATGTCTCGGATCGGAGCATTTTCTACCTCGAGAAAGGTCATGTCTCATCTGTTTGCCCACCGCACTCAACCAAAATAACGGAAGCCTCTGAACTGTGCAATGAAACACGCCAATGTAAGCCAAAGTTTACCAGCAGGGGTGCCACCTGTCTGAGAAAAAGGAAAAAAACCATGGGCAGCCAGTGAAGCTATCATTCATGTTGATGAGCCGGGGAGTGAAGAGATTAGCAACATAAAGTCGGTCACTATTTACCTTTCTAGGTATTGCGGGCAAGCTCTTCTGCTATCAAGTCTATGAGTTAGAGATTATTCGCCTCTGAAACGCCTGGCCGAACAATTTGGGCACTAAGTGGAATCTTGCCGAGAGTCAAAGGCTCTGTTTTGTCTCGGAAGGTTCCGCCCCGTTTAAGCACTGATCGACTCGAACTTCATTCTTCCAACACCAGATCCTAGTTCTGATCTTCAGTCTCTGGAGAGCACGGGGCAAAGGTTGGTATTTCCGCACCGGGCTCTGGGGTGGGTTGCACACGCACGGTGAAAACGGTGGCCTTCGAGCTGAAACTCATGGAGTTGGAGTAGGTAGAGTGAGAAACACCAAGTTTGAGTAGTGAGGTGCATGCCTCCTTGTTACCCAAATCTGGACGGTATCTCCATTACGCAGGAGACTAATTGGCATAGCGCACGAATGTCACTCTCTGCACATCATAAGTCAGTCAAGACCCCTTCAAATAACAAAAAAAGAGGGGAGAGGGGTGGGAGACAAACATATCACATTTGGTAGGGTGGTTGTAATGCGGCCGATTCCGCGCACGGCGTGCTGCATGTCTTGCTCTCTCTGACAGCTGGTTGACCAAGCTTAACCCAACTTCCCTGCCTCCTTGACAGGCATTAGTTAGCCGCATGCACAATGAAGGGGGGGTGTACATCCAAAAAAAGCACTGACTGGCTGGACTTGACCGTTGGCATTGCACCCTTGGCTTGGTACCGGGGTATCTGGAGCCTGGTCAATCACCAGAGAACGCAGAGTTCAGCCCGATGATTTTCGGGCTAGAAAGACAATTGTGAAAAAAAAAGAAAAAAAGAACCAGCAGCAGGTGTAAAAGGGGGGCATATCCCTGTTTGACAACCATGCGACACGCGGGAAGAGTGTGGTTCCTTCCTTTATGCACCAATCCCGGCGCTCGACTGCTCCGGACCGGCCTCGCTAGCTGGAAACTACTAATGTAGTAGGAGTTGCCCCAGACTGAGTGCGTGGCACCCTATCCATCAGGGCAAAGACAGTGATGAGATGGCAAGGGGGTATGGAACACGCCGTCCCTCGTCCGTCGGGGCGGCGCGCCAGCTAGGCTCAAGGAGTGAAACACTGACAGACGCAGCAGTGACTTATCGGCTGGGTCTTTCTTCCCCGCCCCCAATAAAACCCACCCTCCCTCCTAGGATCATTCGGGGAGGTCTGCTTTTCATCTAGTGCTGATGGAAACACTCGTTCGTGCGGCTGTCGTGCTTGTTGGAATCCCCAGCGGCGGGAAACCCGCCAAGCAAGGAAACATGCCAAGGGCTTGTCATTGCTTTTGTGCCATGTGATTTGTGCAGGAAGCCTGCAAGATCTTGTAGATTTATGGCTGCGACCCGGACAAGAGTAAAGACCGAAATAACAAAGCCCAGATGAAGCATGGCAACCCACCGTTATGCATGGGTTGCCATGTGATATTGATGCTGTTCGTCGTTAATTGATTGCCGGAGATGGCTCAATTGCGTGAACAGGTCGTCGGCCGACCATCTCCTTTTCCCGTTTTGACATTTTGATACTAGCCCAGCTGTCAAATGCGATCTGCGTGCAAGTGCCATTGCATCCATGTTGTTGATGGTTGACTGCTAATCTGGTACGACGACACTGTTGGTTGTTCCTCCGTTGTTGCATGAATACCTCAGACGTGGGAGGTAATTCGTAATCAACCCCATACTTCTCGGCCCAGCTGGGTCCACGGATGGTGCATGGATGGGGCTTCTGACTCGAGGGTCCTGCTGCAGCCCTCGGCAGGGTAGCATGAGCCTTACAAGCTCCCTGGTCATTGAAGACACTCTCGCTTACGCTGCCAGAAGCTTAGGACGCCCGATATCTACTGAAGATCAGAAAATGATATCTGCAACTGGCTGAGCTCTAGAAGGCGTGGTCCCCGCTGAAAGATTAGGGCCGGTTGTCGCGGTGCCGAGCCGAAGTAATAGTAGAAGGATTGGGGTTGATGCTCGTGACAAACATATTACGATTTGTACATTACATGATGCAGGCGCCACAACTTGGCGTTACTCCTCAACCAGGTAGCACCTACCACACCTGCGCTGGCCCTCGCCCAGGGCAGGTGCGAGTCATCGCTACCAACACACGGAGTCGATCTCCATCGGTATACATAGTCGAAATGCCTGGGCAGGAAGGTGAGCGGTGCCTGCCCACCCAGCTCCCAACTGGCACCTGCCAAACGACCCCAGGTCCCTGGCAGGCTGATGGTTAGCGACTGCCAAGAGCTATCTTTGCTGGCACTCAGCACTCAAACGCCTCCGTGCTCCATCGGAGGATTTATCCATCCTTGCGCGTGCTTCCCTCTGCATTTGCATGCGGCTAAGGCAAGCTATTATCTTCCTAGCCCTCTGTCGTTTTGTTACGTACTTGATTCTTTTGCCTGCTCACCTGACTGCCACCCGCAGCTGAACCAGTTCGGGTTCGATCCCGGCGGCCAACAGCCAACAACCACGCTGGCAACACACTCCCCCTCCCTGACACACTTTATTTGGCCATTGCCAGTGCATCTCTGGCATCTTGGCAGAGATCTACGGAACTAACCCAGGTCAGTGGCGGAACCTCACCAATCTCCTCTTTGCACCAGTTTTTGGTCCTACTAAGCAGGCCAAAGCAATCTGCTAAGGAACTCGAAGCCCACTATCTACTACTGATGGTCTGTCTCATAATAGCACGGCGGGCGATCAGCTATGAATTGCGATTGGGATGCTGATCAACTCCCTCGAGATGGTTTCTGCAAGCCATCTATGAGTATCGAGCTGAATAGCAGGCCATGTCTTGGCCCATCCTGAATTTCAGAAGAGTGGGCACTCCGTTGTACACGCCTCTTATTGGGCTAAGCCCCTGTGCCTGATCGTTCAAGAAGGGCATCACAGTGGATGCCTCGCTTCGCATTGCAGCCTTGGGAATAGTTTGCATGGCACCCATGTGCCTTGATCCCGACAGGCTTCCTCCACAGTGCTGGTAAAGACAGGCCACCTGCAGCGAGATCTGACATGACTCTGAGGATCCTGACGGCGGCGAGAGCTGTCATTGTCACAAGACTCGACAGCTGGACCCCGTCTCGGATCCACAGACCCCAGAGCCTAAACTAGTCGAGTGGGAGAGCTGTGTGTTCGTATCTCACCTGCTATAGCTAGCGGGAGGCATTCCGCTACAAAACGTCCGGCTGCGCCCGTTTGTCAAATCTTCGAAAGAGTTACTGCATGTGGACTTTCGTGGGGTCCCCTGCCAAACAACATGCAGATTTCAAGATCTCATGCCTCTGACATGGCTACCTTAGACTCTCGGTTGACCGAGAAAGGAGATGCGAGGACCTTAATGAAACAGGGATCAGCATAGCAACACGGATTTTGCCGCACGGCTTTCCCCACGATGATGGCAGGGAAAGCCATCACCATGTGATGAGCGCCACGAGCAATAGCGCGGCGCATGCAGATGTAGGATCACATACTGTTAACGGTCAAGCCGCATGGGTATCACAATTCCATCATGAACACCTGGCGATGGTGTCTCCGTAGCTTTGGCCCCTCCCCAGGATTCTGGGGTCCCGGCTTATATCACCCGGTTCAGTATAGCCTCTTGCTGGCTAGATATTTCTAGCATCAAACAACGAGCTAGACGTTAGCCACAGCTCAACGGTTTTGATGTGCGCGAGCTGAAAGGCTGGGCACGGGTGCCGTCTTGCCGTTTAGCTTCACGAGTAAGTATTGCCTGACCATGGGCGTACTTTATGCAACTCTGGAAACAACCTTGAAGACAAGCATATCGTGCCGAAGTCGATGAGTGGCTGTAGAGGGCCAGCACTCGGAGGTGGAAAACTAGATAGGTTATCCCATTAGAGCTCGTAGAGGTCGTGCATATATACAGAGATAGAGATAGAGGAACAGACGCCTCTGAAGTCTGTAAACTTAAACATCAAACCTGGGTACCTAGTAGAACGTTGAAGAGAGGAAACTTAACAAAACTCTCCCACTCGCAGAGTTCTGTTGGTATATGTTACAAGGATGCCTATTTATTATTTATCGTCCTCCTGAACAAAACGCCAATACATCATCAACCCATCCATTCGTCCCAAACGCCCCCCGTCCGTATTGTATCCGGTCGTTTCCCATGTCTAGCCCTAAAAGCCTAGTGAAGTCGTCGTCGTGTGTCAAGTTTCCAAAAAAAAATTCATAGCATTCCCCAATCGTAATCGAGCCTCAAAGCCCTATATTCATCATGTTCCATAACTCGCTCCTCTCAGTAGTACTGCCATCGCTCAACTGGCCAAAGAAAGCACCATCCGCGCTACCCCAGAGAGGTATCTGCTGCGGTTTATTTGACAGCTGCTCTGGTGATGTTTCGTCACTGCCGGATCGCGTGTCCGTGCCAAAGCTGTTGATCATGTTGTTCATTGGCGAGGACGAGGCGGTCGACGAGCTGGTCCTGTGCGCCAGTATGATATTGGGGTTCGGGGCGGTTCCGAGGTCGAACTGTCCCACGTCCCCGAGCACGCGCGAGAAGCCATCATTTTCGGCCGCCAGGAAACTCATGTTGGCAATCTCACTTCTTGATATGCTGATGCTCTCTTGTACCAGGTTAGCCTCCTCGGGGGACGTCCTCTTTCTTTTGTTGGGCGGTTGGCTCCCTGGTGTAGTGTCCGATCCGGCCTCGGACTCTACTATGGGCGGAATTGTAGACGGTGCTGAGGACTGCGTCTTATTATTTCGGGTGGCAGCGCCGAGGATTCCCTGGAAGCACTGCAGAGCCTGCCCTGTGTTTCCCACATCCTCCGCGATAGGGTGTACTCTTGGAAGCCGCAGACTGCTTGGTCGAATCTTGCCCTCTGGGTTGCCGAGAGGCAACCGCCCAGGAAGAACGGGTGAGATCTTTGTGTGGTTCCCTATCGTACGGTTGCGAGCTAGTAAGGGGATGTTGGAAGCAGGGCCGCCAAAACTATCGCGGTATTTGCTTAGATTGGGAAGTCGGATGACTGCATCTAGGCCATTCCGTTCGACATCTAGACATGCCTGCTGCAGGAATGACCGAGTAATCTCGTGGGCTCTTGCGATAGCCTCCATTGCTTGAATGATGAGCTCCAGGTTTGCAGTGTCAATGGCATCCAATCCATCCTCGGGGTTCTCCTTGGCCATGAAGACGTATACGGTTGTTGCACAATACATGGATAACGCGCATAGTGGGCTGCGCTGAACATGAAACAAGGTTAGCTGATGAAAAAAAAGGGGATGTATAAATTATGAGTCTTCGAGTGCAAACATACGAATAGTGCAAGCTGATGAGATGTCAATTTGATGATGTTAACAATTTCCTCGGCCGCAGTCCTGAGGCGGGTTACGCTGGCCTGCTTGACTGACGGAGGATGACCATGCTTCATTGCCTTCTCGACCGCAGCGTGATGGAGGCAGATGACTGAAGCGTGTAGATTAAGATTCAAATGAATAGCGGGCGGTTCTCGATAATGGCGAGGGAGGGAGAACTTTTCTGGGAGAAACATGAAAGCCCCAGATAACTCATTGTCAAGCTCGCGATGGCGTGCCCAGAAGGGGCCATTCACCAAATCCTCTGGGCGATCCTTGGCCCTTGATCTGTGGACATGGCTTAAGATCTTCTTGAATATCCGACATGTGACGATGGTACTGGAAAATCCGGAATAGGAGGCACCTTTCAAAGCTTCATCGATGAAGACAGCCGCCTCTTCTTTCCCGGCATTAAAGGCCTCCTCTGATGCGGGAAGTCTCGATTCGATCTAAGTCTAGAGTTAGTATCTTGACCCAACAGGATTATCCAAGTAGAAGGGGGGGGGAAGCAGACATCGTCGCAATTAATCAAGCTCGGCCACCCAGCGGAGATGCTGGCATGGGCGTCGATGCAATAGGCGCCCCAGAATGTTCTCCTGCGCTCTTCGAGCTCAGCCCACGACGTCGGAGGAGCCAAGCTAGGGGGGATGCTGCCCTTCTCGCCATCTACCCGATCCAGACCCATCATCTGGACGAGTCGAACGGCCTTGGCCGAGGTCATGGACGCTCTCGTAAAAAGCATTAATTTTGCCTCAAAGGTCGATAGGATAATATAGGCCTGGGCGTGGAAAAGGGTGATGAAGTATTCGCCTACACCCTATGAGGAGAGTTAGTACTGCTATCATTTCCTAACCACATGTCATGATTTTGACTTGAATGGTATTCTAACCTTTAGCTCGTCCGCCTCGACATATTGCCTCGCTCGTTGGTAGAAGATATCCGAGAACGAGGCGTACTTATCGTTTAGATATGACGCCAATGCCCAAATCGAATATTGCAGACACATGGGCGGTTTCATTAAGGGACCGCCATAGAATGCTTTGAGATATCGCCCCGGATGAACAATGGGGATGTAGAAGTGCTGCGCGTTGAAATATATATTGTTTCTTGTCAAGGTGTCAATGGCCAGGTTCAACAAGCGAGGGGCAAGCATGGGGTTTCATACAAATCCTCCATCATTTCGAAAGGAGGCAGGCTCTCAGACAGACCGAGGTCCATCAACTCACCGCCGAGCATGCCATTCGTTTGGTCATCGAAAAGGTCTGGCATATCTAAAGGTACTTGAGATTGCCCTGGCGTGACAGTAACACCGGCACTCTGATTTGGCATTGCCGAGGAGAAATCGAAATCACCTAACTGATGGATTTCAGGATCAGGGTGTATGAACGTATCATCGACTTGTTCCTCGGAATCGACTGCACCACTCTTGGTAACCTCTTTGAGGTAACCCTCTACCTGGGCTAAACGGCGTCAACATCCCGTGTGCTACAACGGAATAAGATGGCTCAATGTGGGACCATGAGCGCGGTTACCTACCTAAACGAGCCTCAAGCTCCCTCACATTCCGACGTTTGAAAGTAGGCTTCCGCCTTGATTCTGGATAGATGCATTCGGCGCAGGCCTTGGAACAGCGAGTGCAAGCTGGCTTGATACGGTCACACTTGAGCTTCCGCGACCGACATGACACACATGCCAAAGACTCGGTGCCGGCGTGAGATGTCGGGTCCAGAGGGTCATTCCCCGTCTGGAGGCTGTCGTCCATGGTGTCGGCGAATGTCAGTGAAGTACGTGTGGCGTTGGATCATCTGCTTGGCACCGTGAAAGAGAGCCGCCGGTAGCCCGGAGCTCCAACAAGACAAGTCCGGGGCAGAGCGGCGGGTAGATTGTTTATGATGAGAAAAAAATGTCCCTTATGCTCGGATCTCATCTGACATACATCGCCAGGTCACGATCGCACAGCGCACCGTAAACCGTATACGTAGACCGATGCTGACAATGCCGTGCTGTAGCTTGCCGATTCACGTGCGATACCGTAAATTACTGCATCATTGCGAACTGGGCGGGTGGGACACCCGCTACAGGGGGACGGAACGACGTTGGGCCGGAGCCCGACCTTGTCCGGGAACCCCAGCAGCCAGTTGCTCTTGCCCAGGTTTCTCCAGGTGGGTGGATCCGCTGACTTAAGCGAGACATACATACCTCGGTGACTCGGTAGTAGCGCAGCTGCAAACCATACGGGCATGACGTGACTCCTCAAGAAGATTGAACTTCAAGCAATCGCAGTTCTATCGATTAATCTATCTCATTTTCCTTTTGATCCCTTTTTGTGATCCCATAAATACCAAGCCAGAAAAATAGCATATTGCCACTATTCATAATCACGATGCTTCTCATCGGACTGACGGGATCCATCGCTACGGGCAAGTCCACTGTTTCCTCCCTGCTCTCATCACCACCATACAATCTCCCCATCATCGATGCCGACATTCTGGCTCGTAAAGTCGTGGAGCCCGGCACCCGTGGGTATAATGCCATCGTGAAGTACTTCGGCCCCACAACCCCGGACCTGCTAGTGGCGCCGTCAGACACGATGCCGGAGGCTGGCCCAGATGGCCAGGGGCGGCCGTTGAATAGGCCAGCTCTTGGCAGGCGCGTATTCGGTGACAATGAGGAGCGAAAGAAGGACCGGAACGTTTTGAATGGAATTGTGCATCCGGAGGTGCGGTGGGAGATGTTCAAGGGAGTGGTTGGCAACTACCTGAGGGGCCACTGGGCTGTCGTGCTTGATATACCCCTTTTGTTCGAGAGCGGGCTGGACAGGTATTGCGGTACCGCCGTGGTTGTTGCAGTGAGCGACCCGGAAATCCAAATGAAGAGGCTCAGGGCTCGCGATGCACACCTTACGGCCGAGGATGCAGAAAACAGGGTTCGAAGCCAGACGGACGTCCGAGTCAAGGCGAAGCGAGCAGAGGCACGCGGCAGTGGAAGGGGACTTGTTCTTTGGAACGATGGTTCAAAGGAGGAGCTTCAGGTGCAGGTCGATGCGGCTCTGACTCAGCTGAAGACACAGAGCCCTGGGTGGTGGTCGTATGTGTTGTTGGCATGCCCCCCTCTGGCTGTCGCTGTTGCCGCATGGAGGTTGTGGGATAATGCGAGGATTAACAAAGAATGGGAGGAGCTCAAGAAACAGACAAAAGAGAAACTGTAGGACGCCGAAGCGTGAGAGAAGTACATGATTAAGGAGCGACCATAGTCTTATTTAACAATACCTAATAAACGCACGTGCTGGCAGGTTTTTGACGGTCGGATCATTCTTACTGCATTGTTGTGATACGGACTGGTTTTGGGTAGTATAATACAACTGATAAATGATACCTCCAAGTACTTGTCCCAATCTCATATGTCTTGAAGAATCCTTGTCCGTTGGTAGGCTAGCTGACGGGAGAACAATGACGATCCTACACCACCCTCTGTAGGTCTTCTCCTTAGTCCTGCTTTCCGATAGCAAATCTTCCCAGGGGAAGACCAAACCCAGCGACGTAGAAAGGACTATACATCCGTCAACAGGGACCTGGAGAGATAGAAAAACAGTAATAAGTTATTCGTCAGTCAACCAAAAGGTCCCGAGTGGTGTCCTATATGGGATGGCCAGCCCGAACCCATGTTGACGCCACCCTTTCCAGGTTTATCAGACGCTCTTTCAATAATTTCCACTCCATCACATATCTCATTAACCGTTAATTCAAAGTAGAATACGCCTGCCATTCCTCCTCAAACAGAGGATATACAAATACGCCCCCAAGCCCGTTCCATGCATTCCAGCTCTTGGTCGAGCATTTTATCATTACAGAGTCCGCCGAAAGTGGGCAGCAACACGAACTACATTCGCTAATAGCATTCAGTATTCCTGTACTTGATGCTGTAGGTGCAGTCGGCGTCATCCTCGGAGCACTATGTCATAATTTGGTCAATATTCACACGTTAAAAGACCCATATTCCGGGGATATATTCCGTCAAGTTTGGATAGAGGCATATTTTCTCATTCTAATCGATCACTTACCTTGCTGTCGCCGCAAGCCCGTGAAGTGTGGGAGTAGTCCCATCTCTGGATGTTCTTCTTCTTGTTGATTCCGTTCTTGGTGTAGATCTTGAAACTGCAGAAGTTTGTGTCTACCTTGCATCTCTAGTCCGGCTGTAAATTAGCAATTGCACAATTGTTAATAGTTGGCGGCCCGGCATATGGTGGGCATGGGAATGGCTTACGCCCCAGATGATGGGTTTGTTGGGATTTGTGTGTGAATCAATGGCCCAGGTGCCGCAGATGAAGCCAAAAAGAAGAGCAATGAAAAACTTCATTCTGAATGAGAGGGCAAGAAAAACATTAAATCGCTTGAAAAGAAGAAGAAAACATAGATGGAGGCGATCGCGACCGTGGAAGCTCGTCTCGATGCCGTGCGTGATACTGGGTCTGGCGAAGAAGAGAGTCTAAACCACTAGGAACGTTTCAGGCCATTCCTTATAGCTTTTTATCTGCCGTGGGCGACTTCCCACAGGTAAGCGTGAGCCCAGGGTCATTTTTAGAATTGGCTTCACTTTGACAGGGCACATCATCTGCAGGCTGGCCGGTACATGAGGGTCATTAGGCCTCCGGATGTCATCCCACGACGGAATGCGCCTAGCCCAATGCGCGCTCCTGGCTCTGGGCGGGCCAATCAATCCCGGGCCAGCTCGCAGGAGCAAGCTGGCAGCTTTATTTTTGGACGCTGAAACATATTCTTAGTCTGATGCGTTAGACTGCATGTGGCATCGACCAACGGACCGTTGCATGCTGACTGAGCCTGGGGATGGAGGAGACGCGGGAGGGAGCCATCTCCAATGTGGCTTTACATACGCTCTGCAGCTGTTCCATTGGATTACAGATATGGAAATGAAAGGAGCCTGCGGATGCGGCATGCACGTTAGCTGGTATAAGCCTGCATGTGGCTGACTGCGCTCTGCGTTGCGCTGAAGAACCGTAAATGGGCTGATGGCCAACCTCGCCTTGTGCTCAGCTCGGCAGGGTATTCCTCATCTGCAATACAAGGCGAGACTTATGCTTGTTTTCATAACTGTTCATACCGAAGATCCATTCCGACTGGACATGCAGTATATCCAACCAGAGTCAGATCCCGAAGCCGCCTACTAAAGGTGATTAGGGCCCCAGGTTGACGAATAGGCCCAGATCAGACCCACGGCTTTCTAGACTCCGTCCCGCCGTGGGCCTCGTAATAATCTGGCAGCAGTTTTTGGGCGCTCCTCTCTGCTGGACTGGTAGGTATCAAATCAATGGCCCCCACGCTTAGGTATGAATAGGTCGTATTTTGGATTAAACGTCCATTCCGTGACGAGAGATCGTCATAACCAACCGCATCAATGCCGTCGCATCTACTTTGTGTCGTTGCGCACTGCCCCATGTTGAGCCATACTTCTTCCCCTTTCCTTAAAAAAAAAAACAATAAAATAAAATAAAATAAAAACCAAAAAAAAAAAACCGCTAATATAGATGCCCCTTATTCGCTCTCGGGCAATAATATGAGAAAATATCTTAATTGTGGCTCTGTGGTTGCGGTGCCTCAAGCCATACGTCAGCCCTTGTGCTCGTTATCCCTGAGGCTTCTCTAACTTACACACTCCGTCTTGCACGAATGCAATACAATTCATCCTCCAACGCTCCACATTAAAAAGCCGTACCATGCAAATAACTGCACGTTATTCAGTCACCGGGGAGCGGGCGGTATTTGAAATATCTCCCGGCCGCGTCACCAAGGCTTCCAGAAGCCCTCAAGAAGAAGGTAATTGCCTACCGTTGAGAATACGAGGCCAAGCCAAGCCGCGCAAGCCACAGGGGTGTGGCTTTGAGAGAGCCGAACATCCAAGCCCGAGACTTCTTTAAAACACATCCATCCGTCTATCCCGCCAGCATCGAATCGTCCATTGCACTGCGCACTGCCAGTGTATGCATATGCGCCCTTGCAATGCTGTCCTACATAGTCGGCTTCATTGCCGCCTTCATCTTTCTTGTAAACCCCATCAGCCAGCTCCTCTTCGGCAGCCAGCATGCCACCGGCCCCTCGCCCAGGCCTCAACTCAACGAGTCCATGCTTGCCATTGACCATCCCAATGACCCAGTCCCTCAGTGTCCGCCTGATACATACAAGGCCCAGATCCTGCGCGTCTCGCCATTGGTCGTATATCTAGAGAACTTCCTAAGCGAGGATGAGAGAAAGCATCTCCTCGACATCAGGTGAGTCCCCAGTAGACCAGCACAGCAGAGCAGAGCTACCCATGCCTCTCTCTGTTGAACCTCACAAGTAAGTCAGGGCTAAGCCCGGCTTTGCCCCCCCCTCCTAGCGAACCCCTCTTCGTGCCATCCACAATCACCCACGACTCGCAGACGACGCAGCGCGACCTCGCCCTGCGTGACTCCGAGGTCGCCCTCCTCCCCCGCGACGACGCCGTGCGGTGCATCGAGCGCCGCGCCCGCGCCTTCCAGGGCTGGAGGCGCGACGTGTGGATCGAGCGCGTCCGCACCCAGCGGTACCACGCCCCGCACGGCCACTACAGCCACCACTTCGACTTCAGCCGGAACCAGGACGGCTGGGGCCGCGTGAGCACCTTCATGGCCTGGGTGGACGGCACCGGCGTTGAGGGCGGGGGCACCGAGTTCCCCCTTCTCGCTGGGCGGATCAACACCACCAGCCCCGAGGACGGTGCCCAGTGGTGCAAGTTCATCGAGTGTGGTGATGAGAGTGCCCTTCCTCAGAAGGAGGGGCCGGATGACGAGCCCAAGGGGACTGTGTTCAAGGTGGCGCCGGGGAACGCCGTCTACTGGGAGAATTTCAGCCCGGAAGGGCTCGGGTATGATACGACGTGGCACGCCGGTCTCCCTGTGAAGAAGGGAGTCAAGGTTGGGTTGAACATCTGGAGCTTTGGAAGGATCGAGTGAGGTCTCGGTAAATCTTATATGATCTGTTCACTTATTTGTTTTTCTAGATCTACCTTGTTCAGCGGGAAATCTACACTAAAAGCAATGCCAAATAATGATCGTCGACGCAGGAATCCACTTATACAACGCCCACAGAGACACCTTGATGATCGTAAAACCAGAAAAGAACAAAACGCCTGTCACGTGCAATATACGCCGTCATGATATCGTGCCCATTCAACATTTGATCAGAGAAGTTGTGTTCCCGAAAGGAAGCCCATCACCACCAAGCCGAGTGACAAACCCAAGCCGGCCCATAATGGGGGTGATAGCCCAGCGGCGCCGTTTCCATCATCACTGTTCGAGGTGCCTGTTGAGGCTGTCTGGGTGGAAGTGGGGGACGCTGTGGCCGCCGACTGCACTGACCCTTTGCCCGTGCCGATCTCCATGATGATCTCCTTGTTGCCGGCATTGAAGTTGCTCTGTGCCATGGAGATCTCGTTGTTATCCAGATCAAACACCACGTAGGCACTCCGCATGAACGTGTCTCCCAGGACGGCCGATGAATCCCCGGCCGGTGCCACTCCGAACAGGCAGGCGGATACCTGGGTGTGCGAGGAACCATCCGAGGTGTCCTGGTCGCTGGACATGGTGTCGAGGACCAGCTCCGAGATGGGGACGTCAATCTTGAGGCTGCTGCCAAAGTGCAGGGTGAGGTTCTTGTCGGCGGAGGTCATGCTGCAGTCCACCAGGGCAATACCCTGCGAGTTGTCGTACGATGCGTCGACCGAGCTGTACAAGACCTCCACCATGTCATCGGGCAGGTAGATGAGCGACGTTCCGGAGTCGAGAAGAACTGACAGGGTGCTGTTATCATCCGTCACAGACGAGCCGTCCCAGTCGATGCCTGTCATCTGAACGAAAAATTCGGCATACATGTTGTCCTCCTGGAGAACAGGCAGAGTCACCAGCGAACCCAGGTAATGCGCTTGGTCCACCCCTCCGAACAGCAGCCTCCCCGTCGTGGCGTTGAGGTCGTCCAGCCATATACTGTAGGCGTTTGAGTTGATCAATCCGTCGGTGACCATCTTGGCAGGGAGGTTGTCGTAGGGCTGTGTGTTTCCATGTGCGACCGCGGCCTCGTTTGTCTTGTACCCAATCCCCAGAATATTCTCCTGTGAGGAGCTGTGGTAGCCGATGCCGAACTGCAGGTTGTTGATGGTCTGGCCGCCGATCTTGATATTGTCGGTCGCGTAGTCGCCCGAGGCACCGTTGCCTCCAGAATAGGTAATGTTGAAGATGCCATTGACATAGTTGTAGGACGAGGAGCTGTTGGCCGTGTACGTGCCCATCTCGGAGCACGGGTCGGCGCGGTTCTGGCAAAGGCGAGATTTGGGCGTGTTGAACCACAAATCACTGCTGCCAGTGTCGATGTCAACCATGACATTTTGCTCAGGGGTTCCTACGGTGATGTTGATGGTATAGAGGGATAGCTATCATGGTCAGCCAAACCCAGGCCTAGAAGGGATTTTCTTTTTGGAAATGCGTGAATACCTGATTATCAAGCTGGAGATCCAACGTCTTGCTTCGTCTGCTCAATCTCTGATTGTCGTGTTCCACCCGGTCTTGGATGGATTTACGCTCCATGGGAAAGCCAACAACTCGAGGCGAGCCATCGTCTCTTGCAACCAACTCCAACGCACCGGCGGTAGCTGCCAGTGCGCCGAATGAAACGATGCTAGACGCCTTCATTGCTTCCCCAGAAAATGGACACTGTCACTAGGAGCCGCTCTGGAATGTAATGTACGCCAGGGAGAGGGTGCAATGCGCATGCAGATCGCAGCGACATGAAAGCGACCGGGGGAAGCAATGGGGATTATATGATTTACAGGCCGATGAAGGCATTACGACGCCCGCGCCACGTCTGCGCAGCGACGCACGGCACGGGCACAGGATACTTTGGATCTTTCCTCAGCCGCACAGCGAGCGATCCGACGCTCGAATCCAGGGTTGTCCGCACGCTTGTGTTCCGAACAGCCGGGGCGGCCGGGGGCTTAATTGGCGAGCGTCGTCACCACCCTCACGCCTCGGCACACTCGCGCCGACCAGTCGTCCACCGCCACCACGCACCCAGCGGCCCTGACGAATCCCACCACCCTCCCGCGGCTCTCAAAAGCTTGAACACTGGATTTTCTCTCCAGGAATAGCAGGATTGCCACCCTCCCGCGAGTGGTGATGACGACGCGGGACATCACGGGGACCGGCGCTCTGGTCGACCGGCAGGTATGGTCTCGGGGTCTCTCCATTCCAGAGAGTTCACCGCTCGCCGATTTCCAGCCCATGCTTACGACAGCCCTCCTGCAGACGAGCGAAGGGTTGCCGCGTAGCCTGTGTCTCATTAGCCGCCCGGGCTGAGCTAGTCGAGTAGGGATTGATTGGGTTGACATTGAGACATCGAGCTGCAAAATTCGATGAATTTCCGCCCAAGACAATAGTGGGCAGCCACGGCTCAGCCCAGAGCCGCTGGCTAATTACAGCATGTAGCCCCAGAGCCATCATCGCTGCCGCTGTGGGTGAAACCTCCGGCTTCAATCACCAGCCAAAAAGCAAGGTGATGCACATAACTACGGGATATGGTGTTACTGTAGCACGTTTCTGTTGCTTATCCCAGATAACGTTTTAAGCTCCAGCGACACCTCCAAGACTCGGGCGCCAACCAAATAGTAGACATTAGATATCCTGCTGGCCAAGAGATCTGACCCCTGCTCCCGCGATTACCATCGACGTCCCTGGTCTTCCCGTTCAAGCCAATCCCAGTCGGCCTGTCTGCACATAGGATCTCTGTAGCTGTAGAGTGCACTTTGGGCTGTTATCGACAGAATGTGCGGCATCACACATACTACCCGCCTCATTTTTACGAATAGCCCAACGTCCACAAGGCAATCTGTTTCACTTCCGAGATGCGCCACAAGGGCAAGTAATTGATCAAGAAGATGCGATCATCTAGAGTCGTCGCCTGTTTTTCGTCGTTGCCTGAGAGGGTCATGCAGTAAATGCGACAGGTTAAAATGAAGCTCAGCCCAGATCAAACTTGGAACCAAGGATATTCGGTCTTTTTTTGCATCTCCCACTGATATTCAGATACTGCGCTGTTCCTCCTAGTCATTATTGGCCCATGCCGAGCGTTGGGTTGATCTCGTTGAGCTGACCATCTTACCAGCCCAGCACAATGCACAATCTCCAGGCATCAATATTTCTCTCCCGCTACCCTCAGCCACACCCTCCAAAGATGTCTCTGGACCAGTAGAATACGTCTGCCTGGCCAGCGACACGCAAACCGTATCTCGTAAATCAAATCATGCCAGTAAATCAGAGCAGCGCTGATAAAAAGAGTAAATAAAATGGCATCCCGTGTTTCTTGACCACCCAAGATCTTCTATTGTCCTGCAGGTACAGCCGGATCTCTCAACTTCGCAACTGTAAAATCCCCAACCCACCTCGCCTCTCGTTTCGCTGAACATATATCAGGGAAGAAGTAAACCTCGTCGCATCCACCGTTTTCCTTCGCCAAAATGATGGACCCTGCTCTCATGGCCAGCCTAGAGCGCTGGTACGTCAACTTCCCAATCACAAAGTAAAGCAAATTGAAGCCATGGCTAACCCCGAGCCTCATCAATAACAGCCCCATCTACTCTGTAAGTTTCTCCCCTCCTATTCCCCTATTCCCCCATATCCCAAATCACCGAAACCAACCCCGCGATCCCAGTCCTTCTTTGGCGCCATGGGCTGCGCCTGCGCCATCGTCCTCACCACCATCGGCGCCTCCTACGGCACCGCCAAGTCCGCCGGCGCCATCTTCGCCTGCGGCGTCCTCCGCCCGGAGCGCCTCATGCAGAACACCCTCTGCGCCATCATGGCCCAGATCCTCTCCATCTACGGGCTCGTCGCCAGCGTCATCATGTCCAACTCCATCACCGAGAAGATGGCCGTCCACACCGGCTTCCTCCAGCTCGGCGCCGGCCTGTCCGTCGGCCTGTGCGGGCTCGCCGCCGGGTTCGCCATCGGCATTGTCGGTGATGCTGGAGGTGAGTCTTCTTCACACTGGTTGTGTGGCTTCGGGTCATCTGTCCTCCTGGGGAAGCTAACATCTGTTTTCTAGTTCGTGCGAGCACCCAGCAGCCGAGGCTCTATGTAGGAATGGTCCTCATCCTCATTTTCGCCGAGGTCCTGGGTCTGTATGGCGTTATCGTCAGTATTCTCATGCTCACTCGGTCCACACTCGGTGTCACGGAATGTCTTGTGTAGTGCCCTGGACGGAAGTAGTCAGTAGCAGGAAAGCTCCCACATGAATAATTGGATAAAGTCTATTGGGATATTACGCTCCCCCAGATCGATGCGATGTGATGCCATTATATTGATAAATGTCAGAATGGGTATCTTCCCGGCTCTTCCTCCCCACCAGCTATTGCTTCCTCTTCCTCAATGCACAAATAAATGTCTGTTATTCGCTTGCCTTTTCCTACTATGTCTAGTAGGCTATAAAATCCAGTCTTCGGGGCGGTCATCTTTGGTGATGAAAGATTCGTCTATCCTCTTGATGGCAAAATCGCTGCACAGAATACTGTATCAAAGAACTGTTAGCTTCAACACAAACAAGAAGAAAACAGGCTCTAATTTGGCCAAGGCAACTTACCAGGCAGAAGCCACGAGAGAATCCAGTTCTGCTACAACGGCCTCCCTCTTGGGGCCGCTGACAAGACCCTTGTGAATCTGAACCTGCAAATCTTTGATCCGCGAAGACTTGCCCATCCCTGATTGCTCCAAAACTCGCCGGCCCAGACAATCAGAGTGGAACGCATGCTGGCAAGGGAACACAAAGAACTGTCTACTGAGCAGCGGGAGCTCGCACACGTAGCACTTCTCCCCAGGCTCAACAATCGCATAGCGATGGTCCAGGGCCGCGATATCGACCTTGATATTCGAGGCTGTCTGTGATGATTCATCCATCTCTTTCTTCAAATTATCGATATTGCGGCTGTAGTCCTCCAGAGCACCGCATATTTCCTCCTTGAAATCATCAATAACAACGAAATCTGGGAAGAATGGGATCAGGTCCTCGATTTTCAAGAGTTCGCACTTCTTGAGGAAATCGATTGCTGCCTTGATTCCATTGGACTGCGGGATAATCTTCCTGGCCACGGCAAGCCAGAGTCGTTTCCTCAGCTGTGGATTGGACAAGGGCCTGTCTGCAATAACTGCTGCGAGCTCAAGTTCGTTATGAGACAGCGCGAGATCAACAGCCTGAAGATACTGGCCCATGCTAGTATAGATGTGAACGCATGACAATGTCCGGTGGTGCTGGATGCAGAGTCGCAGGGCAAAGTCAGGGTCATAATATGGCTCGTCACCTTGCGCCTGGAGGTATGAGAGCAAGCCCGACTCGTCAGATGATGAGTGCGAAGCATGGATGGATACAAGGGTGTTGTGCACGGCGGAATCGTTGGAGTTGAGTTGGTAGATGACATAGTTCAGATACCGCACTGCCTGGTTTTGTGAGGCTGCAGTGCCTGGGAAGGTACGGTTGTATTCCAATAAGGCGGGGATTAGGGAGCGAGGCTTCAGATCAGGATGACGCATCAGGATCTCGACTGTCTCCTGAGGGGTGTGTGTCATCAACACGCTGCTGTAGCGGTAGAATACGTCAGGGTCGGTCTGCTTCTTGAGCACGTTGAGAACCTCGGTCCATCTTTCTCTTTGTACCCAGTAAGAGAGAACGTAGTTGTAATCGTCTACAGCAGTGGCAAAGTAGAGCAACTCGCCCTCCCTCCCATGACTGCTGATGACATCGTACACGGTCTTCCGGTCCAAATCATTTTTATACTTGTTGACAAAGTCATGATACTCCTTTCGAACAGAAGCCAGTAATTTCCGAGACTCTGTAGGATTTAGGTCCTCCGAAAGCTCAGCCTGTGTGACTATGGTATCGTCAAGCGAGTTTAGCTTTGCCATGAAAACCTCCACGAGCCAACTGGCAAGCATGATGCGCTGCATGATTGCGGCTTTCTTGGTTGTCGCCAGCCTCGTCAGAAGAAACTGTCGCAAGGCATCTGGTTGGTTGTTGTCGATGAGACTCAGCGCAATATCCTCAAACGGCTTGTTACTACGGCCGTACACAGTCGCTGCTTCGTTCCAGTGACCCTTGGCAGCTAAGTGATCTCCATAGGCGGCGGCAACGGTCTCTTTCTGTGTCCGAGTAGAGGCGTGAAGTAATGCAGTCTCAAACTGCTGCGTCTTCATCATGATCTCCCAAATGTGTCGATCCTCGTCTCTTACGGCAATTTCAAATATCTCAGTGGATGAGAACAGCCAGAATGTATTCTTCTGCAGGTCAACGGAGAAGCCAATGGACTTTTGGCCAGGGCCAAGAACGTCATGCTCAGACACCAACTCCCCCGTAAGGCGGTTCGTGATCACGACGCGCCCACCGATAAGACTAGCAATGTGCCACTGCGTGAGGAGAACGTCTTCAATCATCTCCGAGGCTACTTTTTTTCTTCCTTTTCCTTCGGCAGAGGTAATCTGAGACCTCGTGAGCATCTTCGATTCCGAGAATACCTTGGTGCCGAGATTACCGTCGGTAGGGAAGTTGAGGAGCTTGCCATGGAACACACCCTGGGATGTGAGCCAAGCAAAGGCGCGATCGGGAGCGCCTTCATCATGAGGGTTGCTGTCTTCGTGGTCCGGGGACACAGCAAGGGCTGAGTGCGCGCCCTGGACGGTCCGGGTCAACTCGTGCACGATCGGTTGCTCCGTCTCGAACAGTTTCGTGTAGACAGACCCGCTACCGTCATGGGTGAAGCCAATCCTGCCAGTGAGGTGGAACAGCCGGCTCTGTGTAGCAATGACAACCCTTCGCATGTCCTGCTTTCCCCCTAGGCTGTCCACCCACAGTCCGGTGATGGGTCCGTCGGGGAGCTTGTGCAGGTTCTTCAAGTGCTTCACCTCCTTCTTGTAGAACTCGTTGGACGTCTCGATGGAGGCCTCGTAGATATTTCCATCCGCGGCACCCAGCAGAATCTCCCTCGTTGACGCGGTCGGCAGTGAAGGGTTCCAGGCAACACTCTCGATAGCCACGCCGCGCAACCTACTGAGAGGGCGTGGTTGCCTGGACTGGGAGTGCAGGTAGTAGTTCTCTCCTGCAGAGGTGCAGATGAGCAGGTGTGATGCAGTCGGATCGAGAAACATGCGCCGGATCGTGCCAACATCGGAGTTCTTCTTCGGCAAGTCGATATCTGCATAACCCTAGACGTTAGTCGCCTCCCAAGATAACAGCTGGGCTTGGCCTGCCAGTGATCTCACCATCAATATCCTCAGGGCGGTTCAGGTCTATTCTTAGGATGCGCCCGTTCGACAGGGCCAGGATGATGACATTGTTGGCAACCTGGGCGGCCACGAAGTCCGCTGCGATAGAGAATGCTAGCTGCACGGGCTCGACAGAGAAGATGGGCAGGTCGTCCAGGTCGGGTACGCCATTGCCAGAGCCGAACGCATCGCTGAGAGCCATTGGGAGATCTCAGAGCCTCATGCTCCGCGGGGAGTTGCCGGAACACTCTCTTTCTGTCCTTTGGTCGAGATCAAGCTGGTCGTAGCCTATGCGCAGCAGCCGTGGGGGTCGAAACTCGGGGATTGTAAGGTCGCAACGGGAGGTTGGGAGCTCGGAGGAGGTGATGGGAATGGGCCCCCAACGGACGTCATGTGTCGTGCAAGCACCACCACCGCTATAGGCCAACACCCACAGGTACAGGTACCCGCTTCTTTTTAGCTTAAGTTCACCGGGCACACCATCAACCGTTCGGTGTGCCTAGCAAATACATCCATTCTACTACATGCTATAGCTCCATGCTGGATGCCTAGAACTTATTACGCATTCTCTCACATGCCCGAGTCTTCGTGGTTGGATTTCAGAATATTTATTGATATATACATATAAATTTCGGGTCACCCCGCGTGTGTACTTGATACTAATAATAATAAATGCTACCTTTTTGAAATGGCACCATGTCCCAGCCCAATCTTGTCGTAAACCGCAAGTCGTGAATGATTGAGTAAACATACTCAACGTTGAGGGCGAAAAAAATAAACACCGTGCACGCTCTATAATGCAGCAGGGGCTCATATGGCTGCAAAAGTAACAACCCACTGAGCCCCCAAAGTAAAAGCAATGAATAGCAAGGGAGGGATCGCATCGCAGGTTCCCAGCCCTTCCGCTTCCAGAATGTTGGATGAATATGTACATATATACAAGAATATGGGCAAGAATAATGTGCGCGCGCGTGTTGGTGTGGGTGTGTCTTACGAAGTAAGAGTAAGAGATTGATTCTCTTCTTCCTCGACCTCGTCTTCGTCTCGGATGGTTTCTCCGTCCTCTGTTCGCGTTGGGTTCGTGTAATATCGGTATTCGTCATCATTAATCCAGGTTGATGACCTCCATTGAGTTGGAGATCTTGGCATCTCGAACGATCTGGGGCTTCCGGGGAGGGCATCCAGAGGTTTCCTCCCAACTAGGATGCACATTTTCACAACCAGGTTTCTAGATGTCTCGGGGTCCTTGGCCATGTCCGCAATTTCCCTCGCAGCTACTTCGCATGCCGCTTTGCACTTGTCTGGATCCCAGCCCAGCTGCTCTGTGAGCAGTCTTAGACAGCATGCTTCCATCGCATCCAGACATGATATCAGCCAGATCTTTCCCGCTGACTCCTCTGCCACATGTATGGGAAGTGAGTACTCCGTCCTCCCAACTTCGACGAAGCCTGCCTCCATCATCCAGTCCGGGTTCAGATGGTGTACGCCTCGTCTCCGCCCGGATTTTTCAGCTGCGATATCAAGTTCTCTCAACATCAACCTGAAGGTCGAATCCGCTGGGAAGGCATCCACCACATCCGAGTCGACATCCAGCACTTCGATCCATCCGCCAGGCTTGAGCGAGGCAAACGCGTGGTCGTAGATATATCTCCAATCCTTGAATGCGCCATCCATAGAACGCAGATGGATCATGTCGTAGTAGTTGGCGTTCCTGTCCCAGTCCTCCGCATCCTCAATTTCGAAAAAGACATTCATGGGGATACTCTGCGTCTCAGCGATGGCAGCGATGTCGGTCCCCATCACTTCGCATTGTGGGAACAGCTCGGCCATTTTTATCGCCCACTCCCCGGTCCCAGTGCCGACGTCCAGGATATGCTTTGGGTTGTCGAGAGGGATCGTGGTAAGTTCACCGCCGAGGACATGTTGAAAGACATGGTGCACAA